AGATTTTGTCCACAGCAGAATTTACACCAGAATTATTCTGGTTTTTTGATTTTCCAGTAGTTTTCGACTTTTGGTACGCCCCCATGCTGTCTGGGGTCCATCTGTATGGGTATGTGCTGTTAAACAGGCACTAGGGGCCCCAGACTTAGACTGAGCCCTTTTCAGATTCATGATTTTGCTGTGGTCTGAGAGGGGTGTGAGGGGGCTCACTGTGAAAGTTCTGAGAGACATTGGATCTAGATCTGTAATGAAATAATCTACCGTACTACTGCCAAGAGCTGAGCTGTAAGTGTAGCGACCCAGAGAGTCCCCTCATAGCCCGCCGTCGACTCTGTACAGACCCAGAGAGTCCCCTCGTAGCCCGCCGTCGACTCTGTACAGACCCAGAGAGTCCCCTCATAGCCCGCCGTCGACTCTGTACGGACCCAGAGAGTCCCCTCATAGCCCGCCGACTCTGTACGGACCCACAGAGTCCCCTCGTAGCCCGCCGTCGACTCTGTACGGACCCACAGAGTCCCCTCGTAGCCCGCCGTTGACTCTGGTGCAGGGTCGGGTGGGGGGCCAAGAACACGTTGGGTTGTGTTGTCCTTCAGCAGGTGTAGTGAGAGTTTGGCTGGATGTGGTCTGGGTCTGAGAGGTGGGCACAGGGGCTTGTGTGGAGTTCAGTCTGGCTTGTAGACTGAGCCTGTCCCGGTCCTGTAGCTCTTCTCTCAGAGTAGCCAACTCAGTTGTGCAGTTGTCTCTGTCCTTCCTAAGTTCCTTCACCTCCTCACTGAGATGATCCGGCTGTCTTCTCTGACGAGTTAGTTCTTGTTGAAACTCTCTCAGCTGTGATTTGACACTGTCCTGTTCTTTCACTGACAGTAGGAGAGGTAGGCTGCTGTTGGTCCAGCTGCTCTCTGACCTGGACCAGTTCTATTGTTCTCTCATGATGTCCAGGGCCTCAGAGTGCTGGAGCAGGACAGGATCAGTTTCAGCATCTGCAGGCTGTCTGTCTGGAGCAGGGACAGAACAGGACGGTTGGAGAGATGCTTGCGAGGACCTCCTTCTCCTTCTCAGCTCTCAGTCTCATAGCAGGAAAGTCGAGCTCAAACTGTCTCAGGTCTCCTTGTATCGTGGCAGTTCCATGTTTGAACAGGTTTACTGTTATTCTGCTGGTGTCAGAGTCATATTCTTCCAGTGCACTTCTTTTCCTTTTGATAGCTGGGGGGTAGTCGATGGTTTCAGAGTGTGGAGACATCATGAAACAGGTGTTGATCTTCGAGCTTCTGTGTTTAAAACAGCGCTACTGCTGTTTGATGCTGTTGCTAGGTAACCACAGTCCAGTGTTAGCTTGTTAGCTATTAGCTTGAGTGTTTCAGTTGGGACTTGTTTTATGGTAATAAATATAAAAACTTACTGATTTCAGTGTCCAGTAGTTTGCTGTAACTTGTTTATTTTTGTTCTCTCCTTGTTTGTTTCTCTTCAGTTTGATGCTGTTTTCTGAGCTCCTTCTTCAAACTGTATCTCTTTTTCTTCGTTCTCCTCTTTTTCTCTCCTCTGGCGTATTGTGGTCACTTCTTTTGCATTTTCCTCATAAAAAGTCGGTGTTTATCCAATTTTTGGACCAGAAACAAGCGTTTTTTTTAGCAGCAAGTCTCAAACATGACTTCTCAACAACAACAATCTCTCTCTCTCTCTCTCTCTCTCTCTCTCTCGCATGCCGTGCTGCCGACAACTGCATGCATGTAGTCGAGTATTTAACAGACTGAAGAGGTGATACACTGTAAAAAATATTTTTATGTGGGAATAAACACTTTATTATATCACCACTTCAACAAATCCTGACTGCATCATAAACCACTGAAGTTTAACAGTGTGTGACTCCCTCTAGTGGACGTTGTGGAGTATTCTGTTGTCTTTGCTCCAAAGGTTTTTGTACAGAGTTTTGGTGTTTCCTGTCACTGTGGGCTGCAGAGCACAGTAGTACACAGCAGAGTCAGACAGCTGAAGCTTCTGGATCTTCAGAGGAACTGATTTTGAGGTGGAATCAACTGTTGATGAAAACCTGTCCTTGATGTCGTCTGCTGTTTTCCCTTCATCCCGTTGAAAGCGGCTCAACATGAATTTGGGGCTGTTGTTTCCATCCTGTTTGTACCAGAACAAAGTTGGACTTGGGTTGCTAGTCTCAAAAGTACAGCCAAGTGTAACTGTGTCTCCTTCAGCAGCAATGACATCTCCTGCTGGCTGGGTCACTCTGTCTTCTCCTTTACACTCTGGGGAAGAAGAGAACATGCAGAGGAAGAGATGGATCAATAAAGATGATTGATTAAAGGAGAACAATCAGTAGGTTTAAAGAGTTACCTAGCCAGAGAGTCAGAATCAGGATGTTTCTCAGCCAGTGGTTCATGTCTGCAGTGAGAGGGGAGGAGAGAGAGGAAGAACATTGATACTCTGATGGATCTGGGCCTTCACATCATTGGCCCTTCCTCTTCATCATCTGTTGAGGAACTCTCAACATTTACATCTCATTTACATCTCAGCTGTTTAGCTGATGCTCTTATCCAGAGCAGCTCATAATGAGGAGCTTTAACATGTGAACTTTCTGTTACAACAAAGTCTCTTTAACCAGTTTTCACCCTGGAATAGTTAATTCATCAACATGGGTCTGTAATCATTTTAGTTTGTCTCATCATCAGTGATACCAAAGCATTCTGTGTAGAAGAAGACTTCCTTGTGGAGTGCCTTACTGTACAGAAATAGCCTCAATTAAACACCATGATCTGGATTAACTGTGTTTTATTAATAACAGGAGTAATGTTGTAACTTATCATTAGATTGTGTTGTCAGTGTCCACTTGGTGGCGCTGCTGTTCAGTAAAAGGAGGAGCTGAAGTGAGTAAATCTTCAGAGGAGCTGTCAGGTTTTTGTACAGAGTTTTGGTGTTTCCTGTCACTGTGGGCCTCACAGCACAGTAGTACACAGCAGAGTCTGTCACTGCAGCAGAGGAGATCTGCAGATCCATTTGGGTTTTATCATCACTCACTTTAGCAGACCATCTAGACTTTGTTGCATTTTGTGTTCCCAAGTGAAAGATGAGAAACTCTGGTGGTTTTCCTGGATATTGTCGATACCAGAAGAATCGATCTTGACCATCAGCTTGTTTAGAGTATGTGTAGGACACAGTAACAGAGCTGCCTTCTAAAGTGAACTCTTCATTCCTGACTGCAGTGAGTTCTTCACAGCTGACACCTGAAGGAAGAGATAACTCTGTTATTTCATGTTGTAAAAGACTCAACAAATGAATCCCATCCAGAAAAGTTAGTAATGAAACTTTCTCAGCAGGATCTCACATACCTGTTAGAATGGATAGTAACAGTAGAGAAAGTACATAATAGTCCAATGACAGCATGTTGAATAAAGGGAATGTTTCTGCTTTGTGTATTGAACTCTGCTGAATATGGAAGTTCCTCTCTCTTCTATAGTTCACTAACAGTTTAGTTCCTCCCTCAATCTCTCCGTCTCCTCGCAGCTCTGTAGGTTATAGTGGCTTCTAGTGGTAAGGGCTGTGAATTGCGACCTGATATTAACCAACGGCACACTGGCTGCTCCCCCCTCCCTTTGGCAGTCCTAAGGAGAATCTACGGTGGCAGATTGGTTTAGTGGTGGTTTAGTTTCAACTCCGGTCTCTTGTCATCACAGCGTCAGCATGCCGTTCAGAATGCAAACTTAAGGATAATATGGAGATGAGACATGTGATTTTTGGTGATATACAGATCAAAAGACGTTGAGCTGTATTCTTTACATGATGGGTGCTTTTAGTGAATTCTCAAACATCTTCACCGTCTGACTGAACACTTGAGTTATAAAGTACTGGACCCACTGTGACCTGGTAAATGTCAGGGAAAAAATACAACCTCTGTAAAATAAGTGAATGTTAAATTAACTTTAGATACATCAATAAGGTGTCTGGTTATTTAGTGGATTTGCTGCTCATGTGAATCCAGTAACACTTTATTTGGACAGTCAATCTGTAGATGCTCTACAGAGTATCAGTATCTCTACTGAATGTCTGCAGACATTCAACAACAAAGTGCCTGTAGTACATCTACACATATTCAACAAGACATCTATAACCCATAAGAAGCATTTAAAACCACATTTGCAACCATCAGTAGCATTCCCTGAAGGTATATTTTCATTTTGGTAATCTATAGAATATCTATAGATACTCAGCTGCATTGCTACAGCACATCTGTAGCTTATCAGTAGCATCTCTGAATGGATCTTTTCATATTTGGTGTTCTATATGACATGTACAGCAAATATTTAGGAGTGTATTCGCAACATCTCTAGTGTATCAGTAACCCTTTCACAACACATGTGATGTCATTCACGTCACCATCCACAGATGTTCCTTGTGACTATCCAAATAAAGTCAAACACACGTGAAGCTTAGTTGACTGTTTATGGCTTATGTACTTCACAATATCAAGTCATCAACATAATCAGTGCATTTACAAAGTCTAGTAATCTTCTATAGATGAATGTCTCATTCAACTAAAGTGAAACACAAGTAAAGCTTTTAGTATGTCTGACACCACAACATTTTACTGGCTGTGCAACATTTGCTTTGAGGAAGCATGTAAAACATTGAAACAATGAAAAACAAATCAGATGCTGATTATTTCATATTCTTTATGTCCTTGAAAAGTCTACCAAGGATTCCATGTTTGTGTCATTCAATAAAGCAGAGCTGCCTTTTCAGAGACCTCTCTGTTCGGTTGCCACGTAAACGCCATACCTCCTTCTTGTAGGTCTGCCAGGCCCTCTCAATGTTCTGAGTGTGTAGACCTGTATCTACGTAATGCTGGCTGTGGTTGACCTTCACATGCCTGTAGCCCTCCTGTGAGAGACTTGAATCTGCTCTCCGCTCATCACTTACTACCATTGTTACGTCCCAAGGTCTAGGGGTGTCCTGGAGGTAACATAAATGTGTGGCCTCCCACTCTTCCCATTCCCAAACAAGGCCAGCACACAACAAATACAATTTAGCAGTTTTTATTATACATCGGAGATGAGCAGTGCCCAAAACAACAACCAAAACACTAAGAAAACCTAAATCTTTCCTAAACCCAAAACCAAAAGGAAAAGAAAAGACAAAGCTCTAAAACTAGGCTTCTAAGTCCAAAAACACGAGAAAACGGTGCAAACAAAAGAAAGGGCTTCTCACTCCTACTCACTGCTAGTAGCTGACACAGTATAGCTACAACAAAGGAAATTGCTTCATAGCAACAAAAATGGCAAAGCCAACAAAACCAGGTTGTCATAAGACAATCAGAAGGACTACGATACTACTTACAATCTAAGTTGAATATAGTCACAACGGTTCACTATGTACAATAAACACAGACATAACACACAGTCCTCAGGCAGGTTGGGAATGGCAGAGAGAGGGGGAGAGTTCCTGTCAGTAGGGCTTAAGATGGCTGCTGTCATCCAGATGCCCAATCAGGAGGCTCCAATCAGCTCAACCAGACCAATCCAGTGTGTCCACCTGTTCTCCAGTACCTGCATACACTCACACACACTCTAATGGAGGAGAACAGCTGACAGTGCCAGGAGAGATAAACAAACAACAAAATATGACCCCAGGGTCATAACACCTCCCCACCCAAGATCAAACATTTTCCTCTTAAGAAAAAGGTTTGATTCAATGAGACCTAGAGAGAGCATCAGCCATAACATTTTCTAAACCCTTTTTGTAACGAACCTCAATATTAAAGTCCTGCAGTAATAGGGACCAGCGCATGAGACGCTGGTTGCTATTTTGCATTCGAGTCAAGAACACCAGGGGGTTGTGGTCAGAGAAGACGATGGTTGGCACATGGCTAGACCCAAGGTACACTTCAAAGTGTTGTAATGCTAACAGTAATGATAAGGCCTCCTTCTCAATGGTGCTGTAATGCAGCTGGTGTCTTTTGAACTTTTTGGAAAAGTAGCAAATGGGGTGATCAATGCCTCGCACATCCTCCTGCAGGAGCACTGCACCCGCACCAAGCGCACTGGCATCTACTTCCAGCTTAAATGGACGAGTGAAGTTTGGGGCGGCGAGCACAGGCTCACTGCAGAGGAGAACTTTGGCAGCCTCGAAAGCCATCCGACATTCTTCTGACCACTAGAAAAGAGTTTTGGGACTTGCCAAACTGGTTAAAGGAGCTACCACATCAGCAAAGTTTTTGCAGAACGCACGGTAGTACCCAGCCATCCCCAGAAAACGATGGAGCTCACGACGTGTCTGAGGAGCTGGGAAATCTAAGATTGCCTGTACTTTGGCAGTAACTGGGCAGACACGACCTTGACCTACTTGTTTACCTAAGTAGGTAACAACAGCCCTCCCGAACTCACATTTAGCCAGATTGAGTGTAAGGGAAGCAGCGCACAAGCGTTCAAAAATCACTCTGAGGGTCCTCATGTGATCAGACCAAGTTGGCGAATAGGCCACGATGTCATCCAAATAAACTTCACAATTTGCAACCCCACATAGGACTGTATTCATCAACCGCTGGAAAGTTGCAGGGGCATTTCTCAGACCGAATGGCATGACTGTATACTGGAGGAAATGATCCGGAGTGACGAAGGCACTTATGTCAGAGGCGCGCTGAGTAAGTGGGACCTGCCAGTAGCCTTTTAGTAGGTCCAATTTGGTGACATATTTTGCTGACCCTACTTGATCCACACAGTCATCCATGCGTGGAAGTGGAAAAGAATCTGGTTTGGTAACAGCATTGACCTTTTCGATAATCATTACAAAAACGTGGGGTCTGGTCAGGTTTGGGGACCAGCAGTGAAGGGGAACTCCAGGAACTACTACTGGGGACAGCAAAACCGTGGTCAAGGAGGTACTTTACCTCCTGCTGCATTAATGCACGTTTTGTTGCATTGACGCGATATGCATGCTGTTTTATGGGTTGATGATCGCCTACATCAACATCATGACTTAGCACATTGGTCTGCATGGGAATGTCCCCGAAAAGAGTTGGATGAGCCTTAATGAGCTCACTAACATCAGTCCTAGCAGAATCAGACAGATGCACCAAATGTGTGTCTAAGTCTGTCAATATCTCAGAGTTTCTAAGGCGCACACAGGAAACAGAACTACGCCGGTCATCCAGCCCATCATCACTGGGACTGTATGCAACGACTGACACTAAGGCCATAGGTGCAACCACGAGGGGTGAACTAACAGAATTATTACGGTCAACATAGGTTTTAAACATGTTGACATGACACACACGAGTTTTCCTTCTACGATCAGGGGTCCGGATTACATAATCGGTGTCACTAAGTTTACGATCGACCACATAAGGACCAGAAAACTTTGCTTGCAAACCAGAACCAACGACAGGTAAC